TATTAAAAAAAAAACAATCTTGCATGACAAGACTTGAATTATTTAACAGTGATCTCTAACATTTAAAGTAAATGCTTTTTTAAAAGGTTTTAATATTATAATTGTCATAAAAAGTAAATATGTTCTACAAAAGCAATGAACTTTGACTTCAGAATTTTTTACAATTATTTTGAGATAAAATAACAAAATTATAAATATATGTATGTACATATGTATGTATAAGTGCCATATCAAACTTCATTTAGCAAAAATTAATGAATAATTTAATAAAATATATAATTAAATACCATAAAACCTAAAATTTTAGGTTTTAAAGTATTAAACTAATTTTTCTCTAGATAAGACTATAGTCTATAGACTAGACAAGACTATAGACTAGACTCTAGACTAGACTATAGACTAGACTATAAACTAGACTATAGACTAGACTATAGACTAGACTATAGACTAGACTATAGTCTAGTCTATAGTCTAGTCTATAGTCTAGTCTATAGTCTAGTCTATAGACTAGACTATAGACTAGACTATAGACTAGACTATAGACTAGACTATAGACTAGACTATAGACTAGACTATAGACTAGACTATAGACTAGACTCTAGACTAGACTATAGACTAGACTACAGACTAGACTATAGACTAGACTATAGACTAGACTAGACTCTATACTAGACTATAGACTAGACTATAGACTAGACTATAGACTAGACTATAGACTAGACTATAGACTAGACTATAGGACTAGACTATAGACTATAGACTAGACTATAGACTAGACTATAGACTAGACTATAGACTAGACTATAGACTAGACTATAGACTAGACTATAGACTAGACTAGACTAGACTATAGACTAGACTATAGACTAGACTAATAGACTAGGACTAATAGACTAGGACTATAGACTAGACTATAGACTAGGACTATAGACTAGACTATAGACTAGACTATAGACTAGACTATAGACTAGACTATAAGGACTAATAGACTATAGACTAGACTATAGACATGACTATAGACTAGACTATTAGACTAGACTATAGACTAGACTAATAGACTAGACTATAGACTAGACTCTAGACTAGACTATAGACTAGACTATAGACTAGACTATAGACTAGACTATAGACTAGACTATAGATAGACTATAGACTACGACTATAGACTAGGACTATAGACTAACTAAGCTAGACTATAGACTAGACTATAGGACTAGACTATAGACTAGACTATAGACTAGACTATAGACTAGACTATAGACTAGACTTAGTAGACTATAGACTTAGACTATAGACTAGACTATAGACTAGGACTATAGACTAGACTATAGACTAGACTATCGATAGACAGACTATAGACTAGATATAGACTAGACTATAGACTAGACTATAGACTAGGACTATAGACTAGACTATAGACTAGACTATAGACTAGACTATAGACTAGACAATAGAATAGACCATAGACTAGACAATAGACTAGACATATAGACTAGACTATAGACTAGAATATAGACTAGACTATAGACTAGACTATAGACTAGACTATAGACTAGACTATAGACTAGACTATAGACTAGGACATATAGACTAGACCTATAGGACTAGACTATAGACTAGACTTATAGGACTAGACTATAGACTAGACTATAGACTAGACTAATAGACTAGACTATAGACTAGACTATAGACTAGACTATAGACTAGACTATAGACTAGACATAGACTAGACTATAGACTAGACTATAGACTAGACTATAGACTAGACTATAGACTAGACTATAGACTAGACTATAGACTAGACTATAGACCTAGACTATAGACTAGACTATAGACTAGACTATAGACTAGACTATAGACTAGACTATAGACTAGACTATAGACTAGACTATAGACTAGACTATAGACTAGACTATAGACTAGACTATAGACTAGACTATAGACTCAAAATATATGCTATAATAGTTAATATTTTTGGAAACTATTGCATTTAGATTACTATTCCGTATTCTGTCACCAATGATCGAAAACAGAAATTGCAAAAAATAAACAGAATCGGAAAAAAAGAAGAAACTATTCCATTTCATTTCAATTCTTTACGATCCTAAGCACGTTCTTGCGGGTTGTTATTCTTTGGCGGAGCGTCAAATCGATATGCTGAATATCAAAGTTGACAAACGTAGACAAGTTAGAATCAAAATGTAATGCAGAAAACGTGTCAATGGCTATATTTAAAGTGCCATCAAACAATATTTTAGAAAATCTCTTTGAATGGGGCAAAAATCGTGGACATGAATTCCAACAATTTTCAATAGAGCACACCCCTACAAGTTTATTTACAACGGACAGACATTCATTGTTAAATTAAGTCTGAAACATCTTGCTCTAGTTTAGTGTTTCGGATTTAATAATTTAATTTGTGGTTTCACTTAAAGATTTTTTCATTCCTTAAACGATTATTAAAATACTATTAACTTAATTTAAAGCTTTAACAATTTGTTATAGATTTTTTTTTAATAAAAAGTGTTCATTATATTGAACTTAATTTATTTACCAATATAATTGTGCTTAATTATCATTTTCACTTCGTAGACTCCAACAACATTTTCTTAATCTTCCCGTTTGGCTTTTTTTTTGGGCTTTACAAATCGAACTTTGTATATTATGTTCAAATATTTATAAAATAATTCACTTTATAAATTTTGATTACAGATAAGAGAACACCGTTTGTGGTCTTTAGGAAATGTACTCAAAATCTCATTTATAGAAGATAAGAAAGCTTTTTTTATTGTTATTCCATAAAAATTGGGAAGATTATTAAAATGTTATAATGAAAATATTTATAATTATTCTTAAGACCTTTTATGGAGTATTTTATTTATATAAAAGTTTAGGGATAAAATAATGAAATAATCCACTTAGATGCGTTTGAGAGTTAAAGGAAAATCGTTAAATTTATTTGCTTTGGAATCGAAAAGGTTAATCAGTGTTGAAATATGATTACGCTGCAATGTCGAAACTGATTGTAAATTGAAGATAATATTTTTTTAAATATTTAAGCAATATTATATTTCATGACTCAATTTAAATAGAAAATATGTAGGAAATTTTAGTCGATTTTAGGCGATCATATCATACCAGTGGGTTCAATCTTTTAAGGATTTGTTAGAGTTAGTAATATTGTTAAGACACCTTCTATATAAAACTTTATATAATAGTAAAGATGTTGTTAGATGTTAGATGGACTGATAAGTCTTACTGGACCCAAATTGTACTTGTAGGATTCTTTAGGTAGGGATCTAAATCTATAAAATTTTTAAACTATCGATTAGCAACTATTGTGCTTACCAATAGACCTTTTTAAAGCTTAATTGGGACGCTCCTCATGAACCCTTGAAGATATGTTTAAATTGTTATTCCATTAGGTACAGTAGTTCGAGAGTCTATTATTAAAGTTGATCGATTAAGTACGTCTAATCAGGGACTTATTATGAACAAATTCTCATAAATTTTAGCAAAGAATTGTATGTTTTAATAAAACTAAATCGTTTACTGATTTCATCTATTTATCTATATAATCTATATTTGTCTGTAATTGATAAACTCAAAAACTACTGCACCTAATAGGACAAAATTTCAAAAATATGTATGTTCAAGGAGTCGTGAGAAGTTTCCTGTTAGGTTTAAAAACTATCCGTTAAATGGCATAGTAGTATTAAATTTAAGTCAATTACACTTAAACCTCCCAACTGGTTATTTTAAAATTTGGGCTATATAGATCTTTACATGGCGATCTTATATGTATATCCAATTAAACTTAAGAACTACTGCACTGAATTAGACAACATTTTAAATATGTTTTCAAGGGGTCGTAAGGAGTGTTTTTGAGAAGTCGTAAAACTATTGCGTCACAACGATTATTTTAAAAATTTGAGGGTTATATAGATTTTTAATTAGAGATCAAGAGACTGTAACGCGGACCGGACACCATTAGTAATTAGTTTGGTCGTTATTTATTGGGAACTATGGCAACTTATGGGAAATTTTTTTAAATATGTGTTCCCTGGATAGTGAAATGTGTTTCTGAGAAGTATTTCGATTTAGTTTCTTATCTTAAGAAAAAGAAGAAGCAATTACACTCATATTAATGCTTCACGATCGTGTATATTCTACACTATGTTTTTGTAAATTGGCAAACGGGGAAATTTCGCCAATACTTTTTGCAAAAGGTCTTTAAATTGCGAAATGACTCTGAGATGATCAGTATAATTCAAGGTTGATGTGGGATCACTTACAAACATCAACACTAAGCCGTAAAAGGGATGTAGGGTATACAAATATTACTTATTACTTTTATTGTTTAAAAAACTATTAATAGCCACTATAATTTACAGTTCATTTAAATATTAGTTTTGAAAAAAAAAACACGCAGATTAAGGGCCACAAAAAATTACAATAAAATATCGCATTTCATATTCACATTTACACACGACTTATTTTACACTGGAACACAGTACCACCTACTACCCTCAACTAAATGAAATTGTGTAATCCAAAGCAATTTAGTGACAGGGGAGGAGAAAATGGCAAGGTGGTCAACAAATTATGGGAATATCACAACATTAGACAATACCAACGACTCATAGGCCATAAAAGAAAAATCAATCAAAAACATATGAGTAATTTCCCATATATGTAGAGAAATTATGTTTAAAAATTTATTACCTGTTGCCGGTTTCAGCCATAATTATTTTTTTGTTTATTTTATTTTTTTGTTGTTAACTTAAAGGAAACAGCAAAGCAAAATGCGCAAATATTTCTATATAAACGTTAGAGAAATTGAACCGTTTACTATCGTTTCCCAATATAAACTGAAATTCTAAAACACACTATTTTATTCAGAATAAAAATTTTGAAAATGAATTTTCTGCTGCTGTAAATGCGTGTGTATGCAAGGCGGTTAGACAGTCGTCGTCAGTCAGTACACGGCGTTTGTGAGAGCTTTTTGTTTTTTCGTTGTTGCTGCTAAAAGTAAAAAAAAAAAATAATAGTATTGTTGCTGCTAATATTAATGTTTGTAGTTGTTTTAGAAATGCTGATAACAATTTGCTTTTTTATTGTTTTTGTTTTTTTTTTAGCGATACTATTACGATATGCTACAAATGTCATTTTCTATATAGAACACAGCGCCACAAATGCCAATCGACTATGTGATCGTGTCGAGTATTATTTTGTTTTAATGTTTTCCACCCATTTAGGATGATCATGATCATCTTGATTGTTTAATTTGTTTTGTTTTTTCTTACATTGTGCTTTAAAGAGATGAATGAATGAATATTTTAAAATTTTCTCTTTATAGATTTTGATGAGTTAATGGCAACAGAAATACAAAAAAATAATAATAATAAAATAATAAAACAATATGTATAAAAACCAGCAATAGCTGCGCAATGTGTGCGAAATTGTTTCAAATAAATTTATAAATAAAAACACTTTCAATTTATTTTTTGTATACAATTTTTTTTTAATCGTGCAAAATTTCTTGCGATTTTTTTTAAGATCACAATCGCTGATTAATAATGATAAAAATACAGAGTTTTAAAAGAATATTTATTAGCAAATTTGAACTCATTTCATTTTTAAACAAATAAAAAATTTAAATATATTCTAACATAGTTATTCGATCGCCCAGCATACCTAACGGCCCCCAATCCAAGTTCAAAGGACTGATTAATATATCAAAATTTTAGGAGCCGAATTAAAGCATTTTTGATCGAACATGAAATTTCGTACATTTTATCTTATTTTCGATATCGAATTTTGATTTCGATACAAATGCTTGCTCGTTCACATCTGCAGTAATTCGACGCCAGATATTTCTTGATTTATAAATGATTGAAAAACATTCACCCCTATCGCCAATAGAAGTGAAATTTTTGTTCTGTCAAATAGAAAATTGCTATCGTGAACTTGTTATGAAAAATTCATTCACAATAGTTGATTTTGTAAGCAACAGCTGTTCATTATTTACCAAAATCTATCAAAAAGTTTCACAAAAGGGGAATTTTTTTCACGTAAAAAAGTTAGTGAACGAAAAAAGTGATAAGGGAACATATTTAACGAAAAATGTTGTTTTGGGATAGTGGTGATTAATTTTTGAGTTTCTCCTTGAGCAACTTAAGTAATCTTTAATAAAGCAGACAATCAAATTTTTAACCCAGAGACCAATGTAATCTTTTCTTCACAAATTTCACCAAAAACTATTTTTAGAATTGTTTAAAAATCTCTTGTATTTGCTGAGATATCTGCCGTTGAAATTTTAGCCGTAAAACATCAAAGATTTTAATTTAAATTTATAGTTAGTTCCAGCTTTAATTTAAGATATCTCGAAAAAAAGGAGAAGATATAACCAACGTTAAAGCTTTACTTCAAAGTCGACATGTTGGACTTTCAGAAAATATAAGAAAATATGGCCAAAAGGAAGGTTTTTTCAAACTTTACGACACTATATCTTCAAAACCTCAAAATTCTGAGGCCAGATTGTGATACAGCGCAGCTTAAAACTATTGTAATTTATATTTTGGTCTCAGGGTTTCTACTTTTTTGTAGGCCTGTGTAATTTTTGTTTGAAATGATATTCCTTCGGAACTGGTTTTTTGAAAGCCTTATCGATCCGATATTCGTTCTATAGAATGGTGGAATTAGTTCTTTAATATATGATTTTATTCAAAATGTTGGTTTTTTGAAAGCCTTATTGATCCGATATTCGTTCTATAGAATGGTGGAATTAGTTCTTTAATATATGATTTTATTCAAAATGTTCACCCTTGGAACGAGTTTTGTAGGAGCTTAGAGGAACAAATACCTTTTCAGACATTGCACCGTGGTATTAAAAAAAATATAGGGAATTCGATATTCGAAAGACTTTTCATTCAATCTGATTAATTTTTCTATAGATATAATCAAAATATGGGGTTTTGGTGACATTACCCTTATAGTTAAGAATTAAATTATGACAAGTGCCAAATAACTGGTTTCTTGAAAATTCTTGAGAAGTATTTTAGAACCTATTTCAGAAGTAATAACGATATCACTTCCAGTGTAACTACCCCTAAATCTCAAGTAGCTCTGTTTGCACACTTCTAGAATCCACTCTAAAAGATTCTATAAAACTTTTTCTGATATATAACAAAATTTAATACAATCTTTTAAGTATCTGCTCTCCAGTATTATTTAATATATTAAAAACTAAAATACATAACTACTGCAACAACAAATTTTCAACTTTGACAAAGTGTTTTTTATGACATATCTAATCATGCAAAATAATAAAGTCATAAAAAATATTGTATATGGGTCATTTCGTGCCAAGTGACTCAACTTTAAAAATCGATGTCTTCCGATTTTTATGAAATTTGCACCAAGGTTAAAACTATTACATCAAGGTTAGTACTATTTAAAATTTTTGTTTTTTTTGGAGACATTGAAGAAATAGCTATCTGAACTGAACTCCTTTAGACAATTTTTGCTAGGACCAATAGGTGAAAAGTTACACTCTTATGAATAAAACCCTGTATGACCAAAATGTCCGACTTTGACCCCCTCTAAGTCCGGCAGTTCTGGACCCATAGTCCAGTAGTACTAACCTTGGCGCAAATTTTTGAGTTGGGTCACTTGATATGAAATTGCCCATATGTATTTGTTGTTTTATTTAGAAAAAAATAATAATACTTGCACTATGATTACTTAGTTTAAAAACGTATTAAACTTTTTTTGACAACGTGTATGAACTTTAGTTGTTATTGGTGCTTTTAAAATTTTATTACATTACTTAAAAAAACAACAGCAAACAAATGAACTTTGATTTAAATTAAATTTTTTTTGTTGTTATTGTTTTTGTTTAATAAATTATAATTGTTCACTTGTCAGTTATACTCTGGTTAGTAACACCAGTTGAGGAATTGTTAATTAAAATTGGTTAGTTTTTATAAACAAAAAAAAAATTACAATAATGCAATGTAGAAATGATAATCTATATATATAAAATTCTAACGTTACTGACTGACTGACTGACTGACTGACTGATTCATCATCGCACAGCCTAAACGGTTGAAGCTAAAGAGCTGAAATTTGGACAGGAGGTTGGTCTCCCGCCAAATAGATCCACTAAGACGGGATTTTTGGAAATTCGAATGTTTAGGGGGTAAAAAAGGGTAAAAACGGGTAAATTCGATAACCTTATATCTCCTAAACTAGAAAAGATACAAAAACAGTTTAAAGCTTATCGCCGGACAGGTGTCTGGTACTTTTTTAAAATTCGGCCCCTTTAGGGAATAAACGGGTAAAAACTGTATTTGGTACTTTTTTCGCACCCCATGTATCTTTTAAACCAGTGCACATTCAAAAAATATTTTTGACTCCTTCATAACTTAACGAAAAAATAAAAATACGAATTTAGTACTTTTTGGATATTCGGACGTTTAAGGGGTTAAAATTGTACCTATTTTTGGTACTTTTTTCATAAAACATTGTTTTTGGTTTATTAATTTATACATATGAATACATAATAACAGGCTCCCACTACGATGTTGCAACTTTTTGGAATAGAATTTTTATTTCGTTAATGGGGAGGAAAAAAGTACCAAAAGGGGTAAAAACGGGAAATTTGATTTTATTCAACCACAATGATCCAATTTAGATAAAATTTTTAAATTTAGAAACACTAAATATCCTAATGGGGTGTTATTTGGAACCCCGGTATCAAGTGATATTTTTTGGTACTTTTCATTCTCCAACTGGTCCTTTTTGAGTTTTCTATGATATTGAAATAGAAACATGAAATTAATAATAAAGGGACTTTTCGCTACTTTTTCGTTCTACACAGGTACTTTTTTGAGTTTTCTTTAAAATTAAAGCTAGAAACATGAAAATAAGCATGTAGAGCTCGGAGTAAATGAGAATCTATAAAATGGGACTTTTTGGTACTTTTTCGTTCTTCAAAAGGTACTTTTTGAATTTTCTATAATATTGAACCTAGAAACATGAAATTAAACATGTAGAGACCGGAGTAAATGAGAATCTATAAAAGGGGACTTTTTGGTACTTTTTCGTCTTTCGACTGATACTTTTTGAGTTTTCTATAAAATTTAACCTAGAAACATGAAATTAAGCATGTAGAGCCCTTAGTAAATGAGAATCTATAAAAGGGGACTTTTTGGTACTTTTTCGTCTTTCGACTGATACTTTTTGAGTTTTCTATAAAATTTAACCTAGAAACATGAAATTAAGCATGTAGAGCCCGGAGTAAATGAGAATCTATAAAAGGGGACTTTTTGGTTCTTTTTCGTCCTTCGACTGGTACTTTTTGAGTTTTCTATAAAATTTAACCTAGAAACATGAAATTAAGCATGTAGAGCCCTTAGTAAATGAGAATCTATAAAAGGGGACTATTTGGTACTTTTTCGTCTTTCGACTGGTACTTTTTGAGTTTTCTATAAAATTTAACCTTGAAACATGAAATTAAGCCCTTAGTAAATGAGAATCTATAAAAGGGGACTTTTTGGTACTTTTTCGTCCTTCGACTGGTACTTTTTGAGTTTTCTATAAAATTTAACCTAGAAACATGAAATTAAGCATGTAGAGCCCTTAGTAAATGAGAATCTATAAAAGGGGACTTTTTGGTACTTTTTCGTCTTTCGACTGATACTTTTTGAGTTTTCTATAAAATTTAACCTAGAAACATGAAATTAAGCATGTAGAGCCCGGAGTAAATGAGAATCTATAAAAGGGGACTTTTTGGAACTTTTTCGTCTTTCGACTGGTACTTTTTGAGTTTTCTATAAAATTTAACCTAGAAACATGAATTTAAGCATGTAGAGCCCAGAGTAAATGAGAATCTATAATAGGGGACTTTTTGGTACTTTTTCGTCCTTCGACTGGTACTTTTTGAGTTTTCTATAAAATTTAACCTAGAAACATGAAATTAAGCATGTAGAGCCCT